TGTTAAGAAAATGAAAAGGTAAGCTTCAGATTGGGAGAAGATAATCTAAACCTATGTAATTAGCGAAGTACTTTTATACAGAACATAAAAAGATTTTATACCTGAATAAAAAGACAAACCCATCTAAAAACTGGAAAAAGATGTAAACAGACATAACATGAAAGAAAACACCCAAATACACAATAAGCATATAAAAAGATATTCAACACCATTAGCCAGCAGTTAAGTACAAATTAAAATCACAATGAGATACCAACAAATGCCCTTTAGAATGGCTAAAATTAAAACGACTGACAGTTCCAATGATGTGGAGTAACTGCAACTTCCATACATTCCTGAAAACAATACAAAATAATACAACTACTTTGGGAAACAGTTCGGCAGTTTCTTATAAAGTTGAACATAAAATGATTGTATGATTCAGCAATAACATCTCCTAAGTATTTACCCAAAGATTATAAAAAATGTTCGTAACAGCTTTAGTCATAATTACTTCAAACTGGAAATGACCCAAATGTCAAACAATAAAATGGATAAATAAACTGTAATCTACAGATAGATCTAGGTATACATAAAGAAATATTATAATACTTATACACACAAAAAATTAGTAAATATCAAAAACATAATAGTACGAAAAAAGCTAGATACAAAATAGTACACGCTGTTTAATTTCATTTACATGACATTAGAGAAAAGTCATAATTAACCTATAAAATCAAAAAGTACACTAGCCATTGCCTAGGGTTGAGGGACAAGGGATAGAAAATGACTGAAGAAGGGAAAAGGGAACTTACTAGGGTAAAGAATGAGAAGAGGAAAAGAAGCTATATCTAAAAAGATAATGACCAAAAAGTTTACAAAGCTGGCAAAAGATAAAAGATAAAAAGTCACGGATTCAACTCAGTAGAGAATAAACAACGTATACATAATCAGAAAAAAAAAAAATGTCCAGGCCTATCATTAAAATTACTGAAAAATAAAAGACAAAGGGAAAACTTTCAAAGGAGAAAAGGAGACAAGTTCTCTTTATCATTTTATCAGACAAAAGTAAGTCTTAGAGCTAACTTTTCAACAGAAATGATAGAAGCCAAATGACAATGGAATTATATCCTCAAAGGGATATGCCAATCCATAAATGGCAAAAATACTCTTCATCAATGACAGTGAAATAAAACCTTTTCTTCAGATATAAAAAAGTAAGAATTTGTCATCAACAAATCCACATTAAAATAAATATTAAAGAGCATTATTCAGGAAGAAGGGAAATAATCCCACCAAGGGAAGCTAGAAGACACAAGGAATGAAAAGCCACAAAAAAGGGTAAATATAAGCAAATACTGACTGTAAAAAAACAATATTACTGTCTTAAGGCACTGAAAATAGCCAGAGAATTAAAATGCACAGTAGCAAAAAATGAATATGAATAAATGAACATAAAATATTATAAGGTCTGTATATATATTTTTCGAGCTGGAGTCTTGCTCTGTCACCCAGGATGGAGTGCAGTGGTACATTCTTGGCTCACTGTAACCTCCACTTCTCGGGTTTGAGCAGAGCCCTGTGTCTCTGCCTCTCAAGTAGCTGGGATTGCAGGCTTATGCCACCACGCCTGGCTAATTTTGTATTTTTAGTAGAGATGGGGTTTCACCATGTTGGTCAAGCTGGTCTTGAACTCCTGACCTCAGGTGATCCACCTGCCTTGGCCTCTTAAAGTGCTGGGATTACAGGAGTCAGACACCACGCCCAGCCACGTCTGTACATTATTTTTGAAGTGACAGGAATGACAGGAATGTGTAGTAGTATTTGAATTTCATAAATCAGGAATACATGAAGGCAGGAAATGAAACTAATTTTTTTTATAATGAGACATGAGACAAATAGCGAGAGGGTAGATATAAAGACAAATATATTAGTAATTCTGTTAAGAGGCCTAACTGCAGGGTGTCGTTTATAACCATTGGACTCTTAATGACCTCAAGATCTCATCTCTTGGAACAAGAAATCTTACCTTTATTTCCTGAAAAACTAAAACTGTGGGTTTAGGACATTTGAGGACATACTTTTTTTTTTCTTTTCTTTCTTTCTTTTTTTTTTTGAGATAGAGTGCCGGCTGGAGTGCAGTAGCATAATCTTGGCTCACTGCAACCTCCACCTCTCAGATTCAAGTGATTCTCCTGCCTCAGCCTCTTGAGTAGCTGGGATTATAGGCACCCACCACCATGCCTGGCTAATTTTTTTATTTTTAGTCGAGACGGGGTTTCACAATGTTGGCCGGGCTGGTGCTGAACTCCTGACCTTGTGATCCCACCTTGGCTTCTCAAAGTGTTGGAATTACAGGTGTGAGCCACCATGCCCTGCAAGGATATACTTTTTAAGTTAAAAAATTATCTCTAATCCATTTTTTTTTGAGATGGAGTCTTGCTCTGTTGCCCAGGTTGGAATGCAGTGATGTAATCTCAGCTCACTGCAACCTCTGCCTCCCAGGTTCAAGCAATTCTCTTGCCTCAGCCTTCTGAGTAGCTGTGAGTACAGGCATGCCCCACCATGCCCAGCTAATTTTTGTATTTATGGTAGGGACAGGGTTTTACCATGTTTGCCAGGCTGGTATTGAACTCCTGACTTCAAGTGTTCCCCCTGCCTCGGCCTCCCAAAGTGCTGGGATTACAGATGTGAGCCACCACACCTGGCCTCTAATCAATTTTTCACGTGAGAACAAAACTAGTAAAATGTAGTAAATGAGTTATTATCTTCATAGAATAACTGAGAAATCATATTTTTATTTCTATAGCAGCTACAAGATACTTGTTGCATAAGTTCAACTTCAGAACATGTAATTAAAATAACTACATTGACTTCCATTACCCAACAGGTCTAAGTTCAGAATCTCATATGGTTATCAATCAGTACTATTTAATGCCTGACCTCTTGTTTTCCTTATTCTCTTGAGACAGGGTGAATTTTTTTTTTTAGGTGTTAAATTTTGAGGTGGGGGCTTGGGGGTGATAGATAAGTCAAATTTCTAGCAACCTCAGTTCCTCATCTCTAAAAGGGAGACAATAGTACCTAGCACAGAGTATGGAAAAATAATTAAATGAGGTAACAGTAAGTTCCCAATAAATGTAACTATCGCTATTATTCCTACATATTATCTTTGCCCAGCAATGATCATTACTTTTGAGAGTATGTTTTAGCATTGGTAACTGATTTTGAGATTAAGGTCAAATGCTTGGCATGAGCCAGTCTAAGGAATGGGTACTTCAGGATCACACACAGTAACAAAGGAAAACTCTTACAGAGTATGTCTGCCATAGGCTGGCTCTACTCTATCAGAGAAACAGGTCTTAGGCAGACAATAATAGATGCTGGCAAGGATGTAGAGAAAGGGGAAACCTCACACACTGTGGGTAGGAACATAAATTAGCATAGCCACTATGGAAACCAGTATGGAGGTTGCTCAAAAAAGTACAAATAGAATTAATATAGGATTTAGCAATTCCTCTACTGGGTATACATCCAAAAGAAAGGAAATCAATATATCAGAGATATATGCACTTCCATGTTTACTGCAGGACTATTCACAATAGCCGAGATATGAGATCAACCTAACTGCCCATCAATGGATGAATGGATAAAGAAAAAGTGATATATACACACGACTCAGTATTTTTCAGGTAGCAAAAAGAATGACATTCTGTCATTTGCAGCAACATGGATGAAATTCGAGGCCATTACATTACATGAAATAAGCAAAACACGGAAAGACAAATATATCACGTTCTCACTCATGTGGGAACTTGAAAAGTGAATCTTATGAAAATAAGAGTAGATTGGTGGTTACCAGAGGCCAGGAAGGGGAAGAGGGAGGGGAAAATGAAGAGGAAAAACAGAATATAAATGTATTCATTACCATTGAGGTGCACACTTAAAAATGGTAAAGGTGGTAAATTACGTACGGGGTATTTTACTTCAATAAAAATAATTTTTCAAAAATCATGTTGTACACCTTAAAAAAAAAAGTCTTATTCCTTTCTTCCCCAAAGCTGTCACCAACTTCTTCTGGTACTTCTATTTCTTGAGGAATGACTGCAGAATAGGGACACACATCCCCAGAGTTGTATTTTGCTCTTGATGCCCCACTAAGCAAGCCTAGTAGTCATTTTCATCTTAAGTGTTTTATTACTAATTGCTGTAGGGAACTAGGTAGTGCCTAGTGAAGAAGCTATGTTTCCTGGGGCTCTGGGAACAAATTGCAACAAAATAGGTGGTTTGAAACAGAAACTTATTCTCAGGGTTCTAGAGACTGGAAGTCTGAAACCAAGGTGCAGATTGATTTCACCAGAAGCCTGATATCAGGGTCAGATTGATTTCAGCATTGCCGTGCTCCCTCTGATGTGTCTGGGACTCCCACTACGTGTCTGGGAAAGAATCTTTCCTACCCTTTTCCTAGCTTCTGGTGGTTGCAGGCAGTTCTTGGTGTTCCTTGGCTTACAGCTACATAACTGCCATTTCTCCCTCGGTCATCACAAAAGTCCTTCCCTCTGTGTGTCTAGGTCTCTGTATACAAATCTCCCTCTTCTTTCAATTTTCTTTTCTTTTCTTTTTCTTTTTTTTTTTTTAAGACAGGGTTTTATACTCTGTTGCCCAGGCTGGAGTACAGTGGCACAATCATAACTCGCTGCATCCTCAAACTCCTGGATTCAAGCTACCCTCCCACCTCAGCCTCCAGAGTAGCTGGGACACCTGGCTATTTTTTTGTTAATTTTTTTTTAGTAGAGGTGACATCCTGCTATGTTGCCCAGGTTGATCTCAAACTCCTGAGCTCAAGCAATCCTCCTGCCTCAACTTCCCAAAGTGCTGGGATTACAGGCGTGAGCCACTGTGACTAGCCTCCCAGCACTTTGGGAGGCCGAGGCGGGTGCATCACGGGGTCAAGAGATCGAGACCATCCTGGCCAACATGGTGAAACCCTATCTCCACTAAAAATACAAAAAAATTACCTGGACGTGGTGGCGCATGCCTGAAGTCCCAGCTACTCGGGAGGCTGAGGCAGAAGAATTGCTTGAACCCAGGAGGAGGAGGTTGCAGTGAGCCGAGGTCGCGGCACTGCACCTGGCTCCTGGTGACGGAGTGAGGCTCTGTCACGAAAAAAAAAAAAAGAAAAAAAGAAACCAGTCAGTGAATTAGGGTCACATTCACAAATACCAGGGGTTAGGACTTGAATATATCTTTTTGAGGGACACAATTAACTCATAGGAAAGAATGTCTTTATTTTTATACATTTATTTTTTGAGACGGAGTTTCGCTCTTGTTACCCAGGCTGGAGTGCAATGGCGCGATCTCGGCTCACCGCAACCTCCACCTCCTGGATTCAAGCAATTCTCCTGCCTCAGCCTCCCGAGTAGCTGGGACTACAGGCATGCACCACCATGCCCAGCTAATTTTTGTATTTTTAGTAGAGATGGGGTTTCACCCTGATCAGGATGGTCTCGATCTCTTGACCTCATGATCCACCCGCCTCTGCCTCCCGAAGTGCTGGGATTATAGGTGTGAGCCACCGCGCCTGGCAAGAATGTCTTTAAATAAAAAGCTATGGGCCGGTTGTGGTGGCTCACGCCTGTGATCTCAGTATGTTTGGAGGCTAAGGTGGGCGGATCACAATGTCAGTTGTTAGAGACCAGCCTGGCCAACATAGTGAAACCCCGTCTCTACTAAAAATACAAAAAATTAGCCCAGCATGGTGGCGGGGGCCTGTAATCTCAGCTATTCAGGAGGCTGAGGCAGGAGAATCGCTTGAACCCGGGAGGCAGAGGTTACTGTAAGCCGAGATGCCCCCTTGTACTCCAGCCCGAGTGACACTGTGAGACTCCATCTCAAAAAAAAAAAAATTTAAGAAGCTATTAAAAGTTCTTATAATCCCTGCCCATGTTCTGTAGGTCTGGGTTTTTGGAAATCCCTGGGTAATGCTTTTTAAAATGATTCTAGACTCCTGAACCCACAGCTCCTATAAAGCCCTCTATACAGAAGTTTGTGTTCCAGGAAACTGGCTTGATGGTATAGTTAGAATAAATTTCTGTCCTCCTTGGGGACAGGGATCAAAGCTTCATAATTCCTTGATACTAGAATGGAGTCTGATATCAATAACATTTTTTATGAACTAGAAATCATTCAAGTACCTCCTTGTTTCATCTGTTTCTCAGGGGACTTCCTGACTAGGTGATTACCTTAAAACTGAGCCACGCCATGTAAGACTTATCTCCTTAAGGTTTTTTTCTCACACTCTACATCCTTACTGTCTCCTCCCTTGGAGACTATTTTATATCATTTAAAAATCTCCTAGAAGTCATTGATTTGACTTCTGAGAGTAATAACACTTTGCAAAATAAGCACTAGTGAAATTGCTTCCAGGTCATCATACTTTACATTTTTGCTTGGTGTAATATTCCCAAAGGAAACCACAACTTCTTTAAAAGAAGTTACATGATTATGATTTCATGTATGCAAATCCATCCTCCCCTACCATCCTTTTCTCCGTAGGTTCTTTTCTGCCCTCAGTTCTACTTTTTTTTCTTTTTCTTCGTTCTTCTTCTGTTATTGTGGCAGAACAGATTGAGAAAGGGTCTTACTCTGTCGCCCAGGCTGCAGTGCAGTGTGGCCATTACAGCTCACTGCAACTGGGACCACAGGCATGAGCCACTGCACCTGGCTGATTTTTTAAATTTTTTGTAGAGATATGGTTCATAGTACATTTCAACTATATTGGCAGTGTTTTATTAAACTGATAATAGGTATACAGAAGTTATTTTGATTTTTAGAATTTTTAAATAACTTTATAAGAATATTTGCAGGACAGAGCAAAATGACCATAGATGATTTCTCCCACAAAAGGGATAAACCATCAAAGAAAAGATTTTCCACTTATGAGAGTAGCAACATAAATGTGGAACTGAGGCTGGACATGGTGTCTCATGCCTGTAATCCCAGCACTTTGGAAGGCCAAAGCAGAGGATCCCTGGACCTAAATATTTACAGCAGCTTTATTCCTAACAGCCAAAACCTGGAAACAACCCAAAGTCCATTAACTGTTGAATGGATAAACAAATTGTGGTAATACATATAATGGAATACTACCCACACATAAAAAGAAAAAATTACTGATACATGCAAGAACACGGATGAATCCTGAAAGCATTATATCAAGTGAAAGAAGCCAGACACAACCAGCTCATACTATGTGATTCCACTAAGGTGAGGCCTCCAAACACAAACCTATAGCAGTAGATTTCAGATCAGGGGTTGCTAGGGTCCAATGATGAGGACAGAAAATCGGTAATAACAGGGCATGAGAGAACTTTACAGACTTACAGATATACTAAAAATGATTGTGATAATCGCTCACAATTCATCATAGAACAATATTCCATAAAAGGGCCAACTTTACCATATGTAAATTATACCTACATACAGCTGATTTTGTTTTTTTTAAAGTGGGGGTAGGGTGGGATGGGGTTGGGGAGATATTATATAGAGAAGAACAAAGATAAGAATGACACCAAATATCTAACTAAAAACAACAGCCAGAGAACAATAGAATATTAAAGTGCTAAAAAAAAAGTCAACCTAGAAGTAAACATCCAGTTTAAAAATAAATCTTTCAAAACTGAAAGTTAAATAAAAACATTTTCTAAAAAACAAACACTGATAGAATCTTTTACCTGCAAGCAATATTAAATAAAGGAAGTTATTCAAACTGAAGGAAAATTATGAAAATATAGATCTACAACAAGAAGTAGTGACAGAAACGGTAAAGATGTAGGCAAATAGAATTTACTCTTCTTAATTTCATTAAAACTTCCTACAAAAGAAAATATCAGCCCTCAAAGAATGTATTCTATCAAACAGTTAACAAAGAAATGTCAATATTATACAAACTTTTTCAAGATGTGGAGAATACAACACATCCCAGACCATTTAAACATGCCAGACACTATCACCCTAATTCTAAAACCAGAAAATCACAATAAAGCAAAACTGAAAATTAATCTCCTCAAAATAGCATTCAAACAATGAAAAAAAAATTTAATTAAAGCCATTCCTCACATCATATACAAAAGTAAATTTCAGGTGAGCTAATGTTCTCACATGAAAATAATTTCTGAGATGGTTAGGAAGAGGATCTATGAGATTATATTCAGGTATATGCTGGTAGAATGTCACCATAAAAATTATTTTAATATGGAACATCCAAAATACTAAGGCATACAAACTATTTTCACTCTTCATGTGGATCAAGAATTTTCCAGGAATGATCCAAGATGGCTGATCGCTAACATCTCGGGATTGCAGCTCCCAGTGAAAGCGCAGAGAACGAGAGGATGCCACACTTTCAGACAAATTTTTGTTGCTCACAGACCAGAAGATTCCCAGTGGAGGAGCCCCATGGGTCACCGGCACGACTGTTGTGGCCGGCGCAGCGATTTTGCCGGCACCTCGGCACGGCAGCTCTTGGTGCAGAGTAAACGGGACTGGTTCCCCTTCTGACCGACGTTTGGAGCTCCGGGAAGGCAGAGTCACCTACTACGGACTCAAGAAGGAAGTCTGACCAGAGATTCCTGGGCAGAAAAGCACCATTAGTCTTAACACTGCTGTTTTGGCCGGTGCAGTGGGTTGCTCATATTTCAGCCCTGGGAATTAACAACTTAAACGTCCACTCAGAGACCTAATTTGAAAGTTGGTAATTACAAAGATGACAGGTGGATAAATTTACAATGATGGGAAGAAACCAGTGTAAAAAGGCTGAGAATACTCAAAATCAGAATGCCTCTCCCTCTAAAGAGGATCACAGTTCCTCATCAACAAGGGAACAAGGCTTGATGGAGAATGAGTGCATTCCATTAACAGAATCAGGCTTCAGAAGATGGATAATAAGAAACTTCTGTGAGTTAAAAGAACATGTTGTAGCCCAATGTAAAGAAACTAAGAACTTTGAAAAAAGGTTTGACGAAATCCTAATGAAAATAGACAATTTAGAGAGGAATATAAGTGAATTAATGGAACTGAAGATTACAATATGGGAACTCCAAGACGTATGCACAGGTTTAAACACTCAAATTAATCAAGCAGAAGAAAGGATATCAGAGGTCGAAGTCCAACTTAATGAAATAAAACGAGAAGACAAGATTAGAGAAAAAAGGATAAAAAGGAATGAGCAAAGTCTCCAAGAAATGTGGGACTATGTGAAAAGACCTAATTTACGTTTGATAGGTGTACCTGAAAGCGACGAAGAGAATGAATCCAAGCTGGAAAATATTCTTCAGGATATTACTCAGGAAAACTTTCCCAACCTAGCAAAGCAGGACAACATTCAACCCCAGATAATACAGAGAACACCACAAAGATATTCCTCAAGAAGAGCAACCCAAGGCACATAATCGTTAGATTCACCAGGGTTGAAACGAAGGAGAAAATACTAAGGGCAGCCAGAGAGAAAGGTCAGGTTACCCACAAAGGCAAGCCTATCAGACTTACAGCAGATCTCTCAGCAGAAACTCTACAAGCCCGAACAGAGTGGGGGCCAATATTCAACATCCTCAAAGAACAGAACCTTCAGCCCAGAATTTCATATCCAGTCAAACTAAGCTTCACAACTGAAGGAAAAATAAAATCTTTTATGAACAAGCAAGTACTCAGAGATTTTATTACCACCAGTCCTGCTTTACAAGAGCTTCTGAAAGAAGCATTACACATAGAAAGAAACCACCACTATTAGCCATTCTAAAAATACACCAAAAAGTAAGGAGCATCAACATAAAGAATTCACATCAACAAATGGATAAAACAGCCAGTTAACATCAAATGGCAGTAATCCTAAATTTAAATCAACTAAATCCCCCAATCAAAAGATACAGCCAAAACCCAACGGTATGCTACATCCAGACCCATTTCACATCCAAAGATACCAAAGACTCAAAACAAAGGGATGGAGAAAGATTTACCAACCAAATGGAGAGCAAAAATAAATAAATAAATAAAAAGCAGGAGTTGCAATTCTCGCATCTGATAAAATAGATTTTAAAGCAACAAAGATATAGTGGTAAAAGGATCAATGCAACAACAAGAGCTAATGATCCTAACACCCAGATACATAAGACCTATAAAGAGACTTAGACTCAACGAGACTGAAAATTAATAAGGATATCCAGGACTCGAACTCAGATCTGAAACAAGTAAACTTAATAAATATTTATAGAGCTCTCCACTTTAAATATACAAAATATACATTCTTGTCAATACCACAACACACCTACTCATAGGTTTAAATGAAACATTGATTGGCCATTATTAATACCCATTTTTTAGAATAAAGCAACATTTCTATTCTCTCTCCCTCTTTTTCTTCCTCTCCATCACTCCTTTTTTTCTTTCCTTCTCTCCCAAAAAAAAAAAAAACAAAAGTTAGGTCAAATTAGTTATGAAAACTAGCTTCCAGATAATACAATGTGGAGAGAAAATATACATACAGGAGTGTTTTTATTTTACTCATTACCATATAGGAATTATCAGTCATAAACTGAAAGTCTGCTGAGAGTCTAGTCTGTTCCTGCATGTATTCCTAGTTTCCTCGGGCCATTGTTACAGGTCACCACAAACTTTGTGGCCTAAAACAGTGTAGACTTGTCTTCCTGTAGTTCTGTGGCTTAGAATGAAAAAAAAAGAATTTTCCTGTTTCTTGTTAACTCAAAAAGACTCTGGATCCAGTAACTTGCCAACTTAGTTTTTGGTATGACCTTGTGCTCTTACACTACCTTACTACCTTTATCTCTCTATCTTTTGTTTGTTTGTTTTGGAGATAGGCACCATCATTGGTCACTGCAGCCTGGATCTCCCTGGCCCTCGTGATTCTCCCATCTCAGCCTCTTGAGTAGCTGGGACCAAGGTGAGCACCACCACAGCTGGCTAATTTTTAAATGTTTTGTAGAAATGGGGTTCCACTACGGTCTTGAACTCCTGGGCTGAAGCAATCTTCCTGCCTCAGCCTCCCAAAGTGTTGGGTGAGATTACAGGCATGGACCTCCACACTCAGAAATGATTTTCTAATATCCTTAAATCAGTGCTCATGTAAAAGTTTCAGCCTTCTCATCCCACATCCCTCAGAACTACAAATCTTAAAACTCACACGTTAAATGACAGTCATTCCATAGAAGTAAAACACTGTTTGCTGCTTAATTATTTCTACTTAAAGAAAATTATCTATGTAATATATAATGTGTAAATATTATACATGTATATATGTAATGTATTACATATATAATATACATATTCTGTATAATATATATGTTATACATATATACACATATTTATATATGTATAAATATATATTATTATATAAAAAACATCTAGAACTGGACTGGGGTCCCACTGATATCCACATTTCTTTTTTTTTTGAGACGGAGTTTCGCTCTCGTTACCCAGGCTGGAGTGCAAATGGCGCGATCTCGGCTCACCGCAACCTCCGCCTCCTGGGTTCAGGCAATTCTCCTGCCTCAGCCTCCCGAGTAGCTGGGATTACAGGCACGCACCACCATGCCCAGCTAATTTTTTTGTATTTTTAGTAGAGACAGGGTTTCACCATGTTGACCAGGATGGTCTCGATCTCTTGACCTCGTGATCCACCCGCCTCGGCCTCCCAGAGTGCTGGGATTACAGGCTTGAGCCACCGCGCCCGGCCCACATTTCAAAATAGAATCTAAAACTTGCTATAACTCGGCTGGGCTCAGCGGTTCACGCTTGTAATACTTTGGGAGGCTGAGACGGGAGGATCGTTTGAACCTAGACATTGGAGATCAATCCGGGCAAGAGAGTGAGATCTTCTCTCTACTAAAATAAAATAAAACTCCCTAAAACTAATATAAAATTTTGTGTTTAGTGACATATTCTGGAGAAAAGCTCCAAGGTTTTCCTCTGATTCTTAAACGGGGCTATGATACCCCGTTACCCCGAAAAGAACCTGTTCTAGAGGCTGAGTACACAGAACCTCATACTGGATTATCAAATTGGAAAGTTAATAGAGAATTTTCATGGTCATGTACAGGAGATGTAGGGAAAGCTGTTTATTTAGACTATAAACTCCTAAAATGTGCATAAATCTCAATGGAAATTAAATCCACTGTGGTGGCAGAAGCATCATAATAGACAAAAAGCTAAAGGTTAATGAAAATAAGGTTTCAATCAGTGGTTATTTTTGTGCTTCGGATCAACCCTCAGAGTTTGTTCTCCAATGTAACTTTTGGCATTACGCGTTTCAAAGTTCGAACAGTATCCATAAGCCCAAAATGAAACGTATGGATCATCAGGGTCCGACCAAGTATCAAAACAACTATGTTTCCGATGTGAATGCATCAACAGCTTACTTTTGTAGCGCTATGTAAAGCGCTGTCACTTGCTGCTTTCCACGTGACCATCACGATATTCCCAGTCTGGAAGAGTAGGACAACAGAATCTTTTCTAGATAAGGAACGTTTTGGATTCGATTTGTGGGGAGTGGGAGGCTCACCAGGTTGCGCGAAAGCCATTTTTCCACATTGTCAAATGCAAGCACACCGTGTCTGATAGTTTTAGTGATGGAGATGAGGATGCAATTACGAAAGCCATCTGTGGGGACTGAATTATACTCGCGGGAGGTTAAGCACGTCAGAGAGAAAAGGAAGCTGGGAGACAGTCTGTAAAAGAGAGAAGGTAGCGTTAAGAGGAGCCTTCCATCAGGGGCAACAGAACGGGGGCGGGCGGGCGAGGCGTCTCTGAGACTGTCGGGAAAGGGCGTGAGGGAAAAACCTAGAGGCTACGAGGAGGCGAACAGACGCAGAGACTGCCTCAGGGGAGCGAAGCAGCCCGCATGAAGCCCCCATCTGGAAGTGGCCTAACTCGGCGCCCCTCCAGCTCCGGACGCCCTTTTTGTCGCTCTCCCCTCGCGGTGGCTCACCCCTGAGATCCCAGGTTCCATTAAAACGCTCAGCTGCATTCGGCAACTCTCGAACACCAAGCGCCACAAATTCGAATACGAGCTTCAGACTCGCGGTCTTGAAAGTCTCCCAGAGTGAAGGACAGAGGAGCCAATCGAAGCCCGGATAGTTTCAGACGTCAAAGGTGATGGGCGTTGCTAAGAAAAGGAGGTGGGACGATACCGAGTTGCCACGACGACGGCTTCCGGGTGGGCGGCTTGAGGTGGCTTCCGGCCGGAAGGCGAGACGCCACGGTAAAACCCTTCATGCTGGAGGGTCCTGGAGATTTGGGGCTGCGGCCGTTTCCTCGGGAGCAGCCACGCGACTGTTCTAGGGTCACTCCACGGGCTGTGTCCTTTATTCTTCTCTCTCACCCAAAGACTTACCTGAACGGTTATAAAGTGCACGTTATTTCCCTAAGGTAAGCGTTTGGTAGCGCCTCCTCCTCACACAGGGGTAACAGAAACCTGCTGTCAACTTCGTTACACGACATACCTGTACTTAACCAGAAAAAGTTGAAATTTTGGATATTTAAACATTCAGTAACCTCTTGTTGTGTGAGGTTTTTTTTTAACTGCACTGCACACATGTTGTAGTCTTTAACCACTGAATGCCATTTGATTTCATAATGAAATTTAACGTCCTGGTTCTTTCTGACCCCCCAAATTTCATCTGAACCAGTTAATTCACGAAGACCTGAAATTATTTTATTTTCTGTAACACTCTCATAGGTTCTCCAAGCTAAGTTCTTAATCGCCGATAAATCTGAAGGCATGTGGTAAGGATGAGCAGGTGATTTGAGCCCAGTCCATTCCAAGAGTCAAACTAATTCAGCTGGGATTCCTTTGGTTAGGAGCGTTATTTTAACATAAAAAATGTTAAACCAAATGGTAAATACGGCTGCTTTGGTTCCAATTGCATCTCATTTGATGATGATAGTCTCACACAAGACGATCCCATTTGTGAAAGAGAGTAAACATTGGTGAAATATAGCTTTCTGCAGATAACTCTTTAAACAAAGATATTTTTTCAGACCATAGAAATTATTACTAAATTCTTGTCACCAAAATGTAAAAGCTAAAGCAAAACTTATCTGCTTATCAAGAACAATTTCTTCCTCTATAGTTAAGGCAGTTCGGAAACGTTTATGAAAGCTTAGATCTATATGTGTTTGGGATCCTGCCAACCTCTTTCTTAAAATTCCATCTTCGAACCTCCCTGCTAATGAGCACTTTTCCAGCAGCTTGGATGAAACATTCTGAATAATTCCTCAGCCTGAAGGTTAGAAATTTCATTAAATAAAAAATTAAATACACAGAATACTTAGGTATGAAACATTAATGAACTGAGTAATACATTCTTAAGAAGACCAGGCACTTAAGAAAACACAGGCCACCTGCATTGTGGAGCCATTTAATGTGATGAGAGTTGATAAATGGGCAAGAGATCAAAAAATGCCCAAGGTTTCAAAAGAGAATGTTCCATGGGCTGCTTACTGCCTACATAGAGCATTCGAAAATCAAGCCAACTCAGCAGAAGCCCAAGAGGGCTTCAGATGAACCCTAGTATCCTTTGGATGTCAGTATTGTACTGAACAAAGTCAGTTGAACTGTTATTTTTCTGACAAAAAAAATGCCTACGTTTTTTAAGGACTTTGGTCATTCATTTAAAAGTATATAGTGATCTTAGAGTTTCTAAACTCTAAGCACAGAAAAGAAACTTGAAAGTAAATTAGAGGTACTTAAAAGGAGAAAAAAAATTCCTCCAGTAGTAGACACATATTTGCTGCTGTACACTATTCTCTCCTTGAAGCTCTCTCCCGTCAACTTGGCTGAATCCTACTTATGCTTTTAAGACCCAGCTCAAATTGTGAATCTTTTGTGACCTCACTCCCTCCTGAGTACATATAGAATTGTAAATATAGCCTTTATTTGGCATTGTCGTTGTATTCCTTATGTTTCTTATTTATGAATATATCTTACATATAACTTGAATTATTGAGATCCTAAACTACTCAGAATTGTGTTCACCATGTACCTGGGAGACAGACTTGAACAAATAAGTTTTGATGTAAAAACGCCAAGATTAATGTTAAATATAGTTGAAGGTCATTTTTTTTTGCTAGAGCAAACAAAATATCACAGACTAGGTGGCTTACAGAAAGTTACTTTCTCCCAATTCTGGAGGCTAGAAGTTCAAAATTAAGGTGTCAGCAGGGATGGTTTCTTTCTGAGGACTCTGTCCTTGGCTCATACATGCCTGTCTCATCTCTTTATCTTCATGTGGTCTTTTCTCCATGTGTGTGCACGTCTGTATCCAAATTTTTTTTCATGTAAGGACACCAGCCCTACTAGATTCAGGCCCATGTTACAGACTTCATTGCAGCTTAATTACCTCTTGAAACACCTAATCTCCAAATAAGGTTATTTTCTGCTAGGGATTAAAACCTTTAACATAAGAGTTTTAGGGGGACTCAAACCCATAACAGTACCCAAGACTTAAAAAGCAGAAATGAATAGTAGCAGTTATCTGTCACCTTTCAGAACTCCCATCTTATGACTTATAGATAGCATAAATGTGTAAGTCAGATTACTGTAAGATAATAGGAAATAGTAGGGCCCGTGGCAAATTAGAGTATATTTGCCCAGAGAAAAGACTTTCAAATTAAAATTGTAAACAACCCTCCATTTCCACCCCAGCCATCCAAATAAAGCAGTTTGGCTGGTTTTGACTTACAGGTTATCAGTTTGCAAAAACCACCACCATGTAATTTTCTTTGATTCGTAACCTGTTATGGTTGATATTGGACATGTTAAATATTTTTATTACATATCCAAATACATTTTTTCCCAGACTCCATTGGTTTACACAGTTTTTTTAATTGAGTACTTGCTGTGTTAAAGAAACTGTACTAAGTGCCATACAGAGATTTAAGATTCATAAGTGGATACATGTATCCCAGAGTTACAAGGAGCTATTTTTGAGATCATTTATTATATACATATCTATACAAAATGTAATCTTTTTGTGTAACTTTACCTTGTAAATAAATTTGAACTCCAAAAATAATTTTTTTGTCAGACTTATGCACTGCAAAGACCAAGACTATGTCCTCAAGTACAAGGGTAGAGGAAATGAGACAAATAAAAAAATAATTATTGAGCAAGATGAAAGAAGACCATAAGAGGATTACAGATAAAGTGCTACAGAAGATTAGAGGACAAACAGATTTCATCCAGCTGGGTGTGTTGCTGAAGACATTTAATGCAATTGGAATTAATCTTTTCATGGCACTTGGTACCTCTAATATAACATTAATCAGCATATCATATGGTGGTTATTTACATATGTTCATATCCCCTTCTGATACATTCTAAAATACACTAGAATGTCTTAATCTATATTTGTTCCAGTCTAATGTTATTCAAAAGTATCGAGTGTTACCTAAGGAGTCAATTGGGGAACTTTTTAAAAAGAAACTTGTCTTAATTCTAGCTCTGAAGATTGTAATTAAGTAGGCCTTGAGAGGTGGTAGATGATCTCTATTTTGAAAAGTTTTCCCTCACTTAATAAACCTGGTGAACACACCATTTAGAACCTACTGCCTAGAGCACCTAGTATGTAGTATGCTCTCAGTAAATTGTTGTCACATTAAATGAGCAGAGCTGCAATTTAGTAAGATTAATAAGACTCCAGTGTGTAGGATGAATTAAAGTGGGAAATATCCTAGAGGCAGGAAAATCCTATTACAGATGTCCAGCTAAGAGATGAAGCAGCCCTGAATTAGAGCAGAGACAATTGGAGAGAAATGGATGAGAAACACTGAGAAGGTAGAGTGAGCAGAATTAGGTGAAAATTGATATAATGCAGTAGTTCTCAAAATGTAATATGCCTAAGTCTTAACATGGGTTGTTAAATTTAAAAGGCAGATTTCTGGGCTCTATCCTTGAAAACCTGTTCAGCTAGTTCAGGGTAAGGCACATTAATCTGCATTTTTAACAACCCTTTGTCATGATTTTGATTTAGATTATTTAAATTGAAAACCTCAGGTTGACCATGATGAGTAGGAAAGAGGGAATACTGACAAAGAATTCTGAAGATTATATCTTGAGTGACAAAGAATATGGTAAGCCATTAATTTGGATTTTTAAAAAAATTTTTATTGCATTTTAGGTTTTGGGGTACATGAGAAGAACATGTAAGATTGTTGCATAGGTACATACATGGCAATGTGGTTTGCTGCCTTCCTCCCCATCATCTATATCTGGCATTTCTCCCCATGTTATCCCTCCCCAACTCTCTGCCCCCCGCTGTCCCTCCCCTATTTCCCCTGCACAGACCCCGGTGTGTGATACTCCCCTCCCTGTATCCATGTGTTCTCATTGTTCGACAATCTCCTGTGAGTGAGAACATGTGGTGTTTGATTTTCTGTTCTTGTGTCAGTTTGCTGAGAAAGATGGTTTCCAGGTTCGTCCATGTCCCTACAAAGGACACAAACGCATTGTTTTTTATGGCTGCATAGTATTCCATAGTGTGTATGTGCCACATTTACCCTGTCCAGTCTATCATCGATGGGCATTTGTGTTGGTTCCAAGTCTTTGCTATTGTAAACTGTGCTGCTATGAACATTCGTATGCATGTGTCCTTATAATAGAATGATTTATAATCCTTTGGATATATACTCAGTAATGTGATTGCTGGGTCAAATGGAATTTCTGTTTCTAGGTCCTTGAGGAATCCCCACACTGTCTTCCATAATGGTTGAACTAATTTACACTCCCACCAACAGTGTAAAAGTGTTCCTGTTTCTCTACATTCTCTCCAGTATCTGTCTCCAGATTTTTAATGATCGCCATTCTAACTGGTGTGAGATGGTATCTCAATGTGGTTTTGATTTGCATTTCTCTAATGACCAGTGATGATGAGCATTTTTTCATGTTTGTTGGCCTCATATATGTCTTCTTTTGTAAAATGTTGGTTCATATTCTTTGCCCACTTTTGAATGGACTTGTTTGTTGTTTTCTTGTAAATCTGCATTAGTTCTTTGTAGATTCTGGATAGATCCTTTGTTAGACGGATAGATTGCAAAATTTTTTTCCCATTCTGTTGGGTGCCAGTTCACTCTAATGACTGTTTCTTTTGCTGTGCAGAGCTGTGGAGTTTGATTAGATCCTGTTTGTC